GATATTTGCCATAGATCATTGATTAATTTTCTTGTATACTGTCCTAAAGGTGTTTGCTTTATAAAATCAGTGGATGCTTTAGATGTTGTAAAGGATGCCTTTACATTATTCAAGTTGTTTGAGGAAATGGCTTTATGGGTTGGACCAAACAATATTGTCCATGTTGTCACGGATAATGGAGCAAATTATAAAGCTGCTGGAAGAATGTTGTCTGAGAAGTATGAGAATATTACTTGGTCACCCTGTGTAGCCCATTGCTTAAATTTAATTTTGAAAGATATATCTGAGTTGGACCACATAGTGCATCTTGCAAAACGTGCTTCTGAAGTAACCAAGTTTGTGTATAATCACACAATTTTGATAGCTTGGTTGAGGAAAAGAGAGGTAATAGCTTATAAACCTTTAACTCATGTTTTTGTCAATTTATTACATAATAAACATTTTGTAATAATTTACTAACATCTATTATGTATTGTATGTATCACTTGAACAGGGTTGGAGAGAAATCATACGGTTTGCTACTACTTTCATTACATTAAGAAGTCTACATGAGCACTGATGGGAATGCAAAATGTCATATTTACCCCCTTAATGTTTAGTCTTTTATACGTATTTGTTGCCTAAATGTACTCATTATTATTCTATTTTGATTTAGGATGCAAATGGAGGCGTTAATTGCAAAACGAAACTAATTAAGTGAATTCGGACAGTTTCAATGTTGTTTCGTAATCTGGGCATAACTCTCTCATCCGAGCTCCGATTGAGATGATTCAAAATTATGTGGAACGCTAAGAAATATATCTACAACTTTTATGTTTTGAGTTTGGAGAGATACTCGCTCCATCAAGGTTGTAATCGAGCTTGAAGTTGACGCATCTGCACTGGATGTCCTGGAACATTCTTCCTTGTCATGCAAATCAATTGGGCAATTTATTATTGGAAGGTTTGAAGACATGTGGCGCGCAAGTTAAAGCTTAGAATCACCACTTTCCTATTTTATTTTAGGACTTTATCTTATTATCAATTAATTAGAATTAAATTAGGATTAATGTTATTTTAGGATATTAGAATATTTCTTTTAGGAGATTGAGTGGGATTCAACTACTTGAACTGGATTTTTGTTAAGGGGATCAGATTAGGTTTTGGAAAAAGGGGACCACGCCTCTCTCTTCTCTTCTCTGCAATTTTTCTTTCTTTTTGAGTTTCTGTTTATGGCCATGAGCGGCTAAACTTTTGTAACTTGGTCGAAGGAAACGGAGACCTCGGAATCAACCAACTGTGAGGTCTAATCTATTTTATTTTAGTGTTCAATTTTCGTGTTTGAGTATTGAATGTTATTCTGTGCATATCTTCATGATTGATGCATTTAATTACTAGGAGGCCTACTAGTGGATTATTTGTTGCAATCTACTGCTAAGTTTGATATCAAATCCGTAATTGTTTGATCCCTCTAACTTGTGAAGCAATTAGGGTTAATAATTTGCTGCGTCAGGAATTAGTAATCTTAAGAGGAACATTCAACTAAATTAAATACAACCGCTTGTGTTTGTGTTGTTTAGCTTCATCGATTTCTCTAATTCTTAAGGCTGCCACTAGATTAAATCTTTAGCGCTTGTCTAGGGTTGTTTAATGGTAAGATTAATTAAGATCGCTTGTTTCCTAATTAATTACAATTAAGGAGAGATAGGAAATAGTTCCAACGGTGAATATTTAAACAAGAATTGATTTATTTTTGCATCAATGATCAGTTGTAAGATTCCAACGGTGGATGTTGACGGAGACCAAGTTTCGTTATATTAATTGATTTTGGTTTAAATTATTTTTGTTTTGATTTTTGCCAAGACTGTTTTCTGTTTTACTCAAAACCCCCTCAGCTTTGTTCACATCATCGAAAAATTCGACTAGACACTCTTCGTGGGATCGACCCTTACTTATCCTATTTACAGTTTAGTAGTTAGGTTAGAAAGGTTATTAATCTTGGTTGCCTATGACAGCACACCAAGCACAAACATGACTTGCAAGCTATGGTGACTGATAGGTTTTTTGTGGACTCTCGATATGCCAGAAGTAGTAAAGGCAAGAATGTTGTTCCCATAATTCTAGATAATGAATTTTGGGATAACATGGGTTACGTTTCCAAAATTGTGGCTCCTTTGATGCGTTTGTTGCGAATTGTGGACTCAGATGAGAGACCTGCAATAGGATACGTTTATGATGGCATGTACAGAGCCAAAAAAGCTATTAAGAAGTTCTTTAGAAAGAGAAAGGTATTGTACAAGCCTTATACCGAAATTATTAAGCAGTGGTGGGATATGCTTTAGCACCGCAACATTCATGCTACTGCTTATTATTTGAATCCGGCTTTTCAGTATGACCGTGCAACTTTCTGCAGGAAACCAGAGGTTATGCGTGGTTTCCTTGATGTTGTCGACAATAAAGCAAGTGCATTCAAGTTGAACAAGACAAGGGTAGTGGACAAAAGTAGAATATATCAAGATCGCGAGGAAAGCTTTTCTCGTGAGCCTGCCTTTCAAACTTGCAGAACCACACGACCTGGTATGTGATACTTATTAAATTTCTCAATTTTAAGTCCAATTTCTAAGTTATGAATTTGTTTATTTGATTATTTCATATGGTTAACACTCTTAACTTTTAATTAGATGAATGGTGGAGGACATATGGGTATAGTACTCCACAATTACAAGAGTTTGCAATTAAGATTCTGAGCCGAACTTCAACCTCTTCGGGATGTGAGCGAAATTGGAGTGTTTTCGAATGTATCCATATAAAAAGAAGGAATAGATTGAAGTATCAACGATTGAATGATTTGGTTTTTATCCGTTATAACTTGCATTTGAAAAATAGGTATAAAGCATTGGCAATTTTAATATTTTTATTATCTCGTATTTTTAGTGATATTTTTATTTGGTGTGTCTTTCAGGATATGTTACAAGAAAAGCAGTTGCGATCCTATTGATTATGAAAGCATTGATAGAACAAAATTTTGGATTGCTGATGATGAACAGGAGGGTGATGACTTCAATTTAGATGAATTGGAGGAAGCACTTTACGAAGAAGGATCTATTCCTATCGGTGTTGATGGCCAACCCTATTATGATTCAGCAGGTGGTTCACAAGGTTGTTTTCTAACTTTTAACCAACTTGGTAACTATTTTAATTTATAATATCAAAAAACAATGTACATTATAAATTTTAACTTATATTTTTAATTTTTGCTAAATTTGTAGTTGATGGTGATGATGATGATAATGATGATGACTCGGATGATGATGTGGATAATCAATTTAGGATGGGTTGACCCGTTAAAGAATCTGTTTGGTTTCTCCTTTTTCCCTTCACTTACCATGAGCTGCTACTGAATTTGTTTGTGGTTGGGTTGGTGGAATGGATTGATATTGTGTAATTTTATGTGTTGGTTGGTGGATTGGTAGGTATTTTAATATTTTGTAACTTTGATGATTGGCCGTTGGTGGATTCATATTTGATAATTGATAATACTTTGTAATGCCTTTAATGTTGTTTGAAACTTTAGAGTTTAGACTTGAGGATTGAATTTGTGAACTTTAACTATCAAACTTTGATGGTTTTATTATTGTTGTAGGGTTGGTTTGATGGTTTTTAAACTTTAATTAGATGGAGAAATTATTGTTGTAGGGTTGCTTTTGATGCTTTTTAAACTTTAATTAGATGGAGAATCTGAATTTTTTGCCTTTTTTACGTTTTTGCTTATTTCAGCATGCTGATATCAGCATGATATCATGCTAACGTCACCGATCCGACCGACCGGTCGGACCAGTCAAACCGTTCGAACCGGGAACCGGCCATTTGGCCGGGTCGGCTCCCAATCCGGTTTTCAGAACCTTGATTTTAACCCTTTTGGTTTTGTCTTTATTTTAATTCTATTTTAAAAGAAAATTTTATATCTTTTAAATTCTCTCCCTTACTATTTAAATTCATAAACTCAATTGACTCATTTTATTTTATTTGTATTTATTTTAAAATTGCTGAAAAAGCCCATTTGAAGCCTTTATTTGCCGTAAAATATAATTTTAATCAAATTCTTTTATTTAAAATATTTTCCTAACAACATTTATCTTAAGATTTATTTTAGATTAGTCTCCATTTTTATTAAATTTTATTTTATAAAAATGTTTTATCTTACCAAAACCTTTATTTTATCCTTCTATTGATCTGACATTTATATGTATTTACTATTAATAATATATATTAATATATATATATATATATATATATAAATGTTTTAGCATTATCTTCTCTAATAAATATTTAAACCCTTTCAATATTTTATATATTGTTCATATTAATTTCTTTTATATATTTTATACTCTTTGAAGAAATGTGTATGATTTTGTTAAATTTCTTTTCCGTTTTATATACAGCTCTCCATATTTAGTAAATAAATAATATTTTGCTTACAATTGGGTTATACAAAAGACAAAATACACAAAATTTATGTAAAATATATTTTATCATTTGTTTTTATCTGTTTGTATGACTCAATTATTGATTCAGTTGTAAGTATAATATTGCTCTTTTATTCATCCTTTTATTTTATTTCATCAATAGCTTAATTTTATGAATCTCTTAATTAATTAATCTATTCTCATGTACTTCATCATACATGGTCCATCGAAAATGATCTAGTAATTTTATGTGAAACTCAATGGACATGATGAAGAAAATAAAGGAATTAGCAAAAAAGTAACGAATGGGCGAAAAAACCCTCAAGTCCTCAACAGTAATAGTGTCCGCGGTTTTAATATTTTCAATTAATATATTTATTGGTTAGTAAGAATATTAGGGTAAGGATGAAAGGATATTAGGGTTTCCGATTAGCTGTTTATAATTCTTGAGAGTGGGCGGCTCGAGCTAGGAAAGAGAAATTCAATTTCCAACTTCAAACCCTAGCTCCGAAGAAGAATTCTAATCTGAGTCTGACTCCGACCGGGAATCAACTCCTAAGCCTATTGCCACCAAACCCATGAAAGAAACCCCAAAAGCCACCACCACAAAACCAAGGTCGAAAGCTCCGGCAAAACGCCCCAATGAGATGGAGGAGTCTCTGAAAGACTCAAAACGGGCGAAGAAGAAGGAAACGGGCACGGATCCGGGTGATGAAGATCAGAAGAAGCCGGGAGAGCACAATCGACAATCTTATGAGTTGTCTAAACAGCTATGGGGCAATGAAAGTACTAGTGGTGTCAATGATAAGAAAGAGAGGATGCTTTTGTCTGGGATGGCTGGTTCGGAGGAGTTTGTAATCAAACAGGGTTTAGATATGATTGGAGGAGCCAAAAAAGCGGAATTGGAGGAAAGGTGGAAGAAACTGCAGATTGCTCAGTTGCAGTTGTTTGTGGAGCGGACTGATCTGATTAAGGAGCAGACTGAATTGATTTTGGAGGCCATGCAGTTGCAGTCGTTTGTGGAGCAGAATAATTTGATTAAGTAGAATGCTGAGTTGATTTTGGAGGCCATGAATCATCCGGTCACTAGGTATAATTTATGGTTTTTGTGGTTGTTGTTTTGAGAATAAGTAATTGAGCTATTAAGTTGACAGTCTTGCTTAGTCTTATAATGCATATAATTTGACCCAACTTTATTGGAAAGTTCTTGTTTACGCCTCAAATATTATCGTCCACATGATTGCTTGGAGAAAATATGTTACTAAATATGGTTTGAAGAGGTGGGTTTATCTGAAAACTTAAGCTCGTTGATGATAAAGCCAGGAGTTTCACAATTGGGCATTTATAACATTTCTGAATACTTGAGAATCGTGAAAGAAAGTGAATTTGTTATTGCATTCAGTAAAGCTTAAATTGTTTTACAATGTAGCTTCTTGATCTATAGGCAGTTAATTATGACAGTATACCTATTATCTTCTTGAAGCTCTTTATTTGAGTTCAGTTTTATACATTTATGCTTATCTGATTTATGCTGTAGAACTCTTGATGCTATAAATAATGTCATTAGTATCTACAATAGTGATAAGTTCTGAGTTAAATTTTAAAATCAGAAGTATTTAATCCAAGTTATTTACAAAATTTTAGTTAACTGGATACTGAAATGGAAATATCTTCAAATGTATACTTCACTGGAAATTGCTGGACAACCTGGAGTAAATTATCTGTAAGACTTATGAAGCCTGATTGCAAGGACATTGGGAAGTGAACACTGTTATGATATTAGACATGCTCTGCATAATGTAGCGTTTTTGTTCTATATGTTTTAACGCTGTTGCAGATTCTTTGGTAATTGATTCTCAAATATTTGTTCCCAAGATGATTTTATTGAGTCCTCCATATTAACTAAACATTATCCTGGGTTATCTATATGCTCTCTTTTGACAGATTCAAACCCTGATGATCCTCTTGTCCCTGAAATTGCCCTCATGTACAAGACTGACAAGACCACGTATGAGGCCATGGCTCACAGCTGGTCTCAGAAATATGAAATGGGTTGATGGTGATAAATCGCCCGGCCTCTTGGATAGAAATCAGGAGTCCATGATCCTTCTCATTTTGGTAAAATTAGGAGAAATATCTAGAGTATCCTCTTTCCTGTCTTCTTGTTATTATTGGGACTGTTAGTGGAAGATAACTTAGTCAGTTTCCTTTGTGAATATTTTGTTTGGAGAATACATTAAAAAACAGGGAAAACAACTGTAATGTAATGTTTGCTCGTATTTTTATTGTTGGATACTTGAAATGAAAAGTGGTTAATTTTTCTTATAATTGTTGGTCTTAGATTAATAATAGCCACTTTATCCGCATAGTTGTGAAAGTGGGATTGCGTATCCTATGCTTTGGATAATAATTTATGCACTAGGGACTCTGTTATAAAACCCGGACCGGTTCGACCGGGAGCCGTCTTTTACTTCAGTTCGAGTTTACATAAAACCGGGAATGTCAATAAACCTGTTTTGGACCAGTAATGGACCGACAGAACAGTATAAAACCGTCGAACCGACCGGCCCGGGGCTTAGTCCCAATCAGAGTAATTTGAACACTCAAAGATAATTCTCGTAGGGTGAGAATCAAACCACAATAATTGATAACTTTTTCTCCCCCTTTTCATTTCCTTTGTTCAGTTTATTATACATCCTACTGCTGGAGTATTGGGACCGAGTCTTTAGGAGACTCAACTTCCCCTTCCCCACGATCTTCTTCAACAATAACTAGAAACATGGAAATAACTATAATTCTGGAAATAGGAAATAGCTTGACTAAGTCTAAACAAATGGAATTAAACAAACAAATAGAAAATGAAGGCTACTGGACTGGACTAGGCTGATGATATCAGTCCAAGTAGCGTGGGTGGGGCCGTAAGGTCCGTGAGGACCTTTTAGGCCTAACACTTAAAACGGTTCATCTAATTCAAAAAAATTCATATTTGTAAATTAATTTCAGCACCATTTCATTATCTTCCACTTTCATCTTCAACTGTAAAGAAGAAGTAAGGGGAGGGGAAGGGAAGGGAAGGAAGAAGAAAGAGAAGAGGAGACACCAGAAAGAGTAATGAAGAAGATTAGAAGAAAGAAAAGAGGAGATGAAGAGAAAGAGAAGGAAGAAGAGAGTGAAGAAAAATTATAGTAGAGGAAGAAGAAAGAGACGAAGAAGAAAGAAGAAGAAGTGACGGGGAGTGATGGGGGAGAGAGAGAGAGAAAAAAAAGGAAAAAGAAAGAAATTGATGGAGAGTGATGGCGTGATGGGGAGAGAGAGAAAAATGAAAGATGGAAGTGATGGGGAGAGAGTAAAAATAATTAATAATAAAACTTGAGGGTGTATTTACTTTATTTTAAACTCACAAGGGTTTATAGGTAACTTTTAAGGATGTATTTATTAGTTTTCAAACTTATAATAATTAATGGAATTGTTTAAAGATTGGACTGTTACATATCGGTTAGACAGATCGGTTAAATCAGTTGGACTGGTCAACCTACGAACTGACCTTTTAACTGAGTTAATGAACGGTCTAATTTTTAAAACAATGACTAGAGAGAGCTTTTTATACCTCGGGTGTATCGTGTGATTTATGTGTTAAATTAATTGTATCTTGTCATGTTGATTATTATTATTGATTAAACTTGAAAGCAAATGCATCTATAACTAATGAATGGGTTTGATCTTTCTTTTATTTTACTATAAAATACCCGGTGTCAACTGTAGGTTAGAAATTTTATGAAATCTCTTAATGGATAAAGACTGACTTATAATTTAATCTAACAAACTGTCATGTATAAGTTCGATGTAGTAGCTTGCAAGTGGGCAAATAAGGTTTATTATGAACTAGCCAACTATGAGCGGTCACGGTAGGAATGTGAAAAAATTTGAGATTGGATTGTAAATGTAATATTGGTAAGTGTAATATTGCTCAACTTCTAATACCAACTCAACATAATTCCAACCCTTATCAATATCTAGAGTCTTATATCCTCTTATCATTTTCTTAGCAGCCAATCAGACTTTCAAGAAAAAATAGAAAAATAAAACAGAAACCAGAAACTAACAAGAACTCGCATATTTTAGTTGGACAGAACATCCATTTACCACAATTGAGTATTAGCACAGTCAAATTTAAAAATCAGTTCAAGTCTATGTACCCATGGGTTAATGCTACTCATTCAACCCCCACATTTTATCAAACTAAAAAGTAAGCGACTTTTTCCCACCCAAGGTTTGCCTTGATGACACTTTTTCACTCAAAAGGTTTCAAAATATCATTTTTTTACCCAAAGTTAATATTTCGTTATTCCCCCAAAACTGATTTCAGCTGATTCTGACGATGAAAATTTTCTCTGTCACCTTCAGTCTCCTCTCTATAAAACTCTTTACACTCCGACACTTGATTTCACTCTGATTATTGATCACTGCAAATCTAGGGTTTCCTATTTTTAACTGATTTTCAACAGCAAATATTCAATCGGTCACCATCATTTTATCCACCAGCCTTCACTCTACAAAAACCCTCTTTCACTCTACAAAAACCCTCTTACCTTGGCTTCTAATAACTCGTCAAACATCGGCAACGAAATATAAATGTTGGGTGGGAAAGTGGTATTTTGAAACTTTTTGGGTGGGAAAGTAATTAGGGCAAACCTTGGGAGGGAAGTTTACTCCAAACTAAACTCCATAAAAAAAATTAAATTATTTTAACAATACCCCCACTTCATTCCACATTTTGTCCTAAAATTAAAAACACTCTAATTTGATTGCAAAGTAAATTAATAAATACTTAAAATTATATATTCAATAACAGTCTATAAAGCGATGATTATTAATATCTAAATGAAATTCTTTTACAACCATGATGATTAAGAAGAATAAAACATGTAAAAAAAAAAACTTATAACTCAAATTTGTGGGTGCCAAATAATTTTTAAAGAAAAGAAAAATGATGTGTAGGTACTTAATTAAAACTATATATGTCTTTTATCTAATTTTAATAGAGGATAATATTGTAATTTAACAAGTCATCAAAATATAAATTATAGGCTAGCTTCTCAATATAATTCTGACTACATGGGCCTGTTTAGATTGGCCCATAAAAGTTCATTATTCAGTTAGGCCCATCGAAAATAAATTTTCTCTTCTTTCTTTCATTCAATTAGACAAGTCATATTAAAATCAAAATTATTACATTTGACTTTCTTTTTTTTTTTTCTTTCTTTCTAGAAACTGTGTGGTACAATACGGTATTTTTAGGCACATGGTTTAAGAATGAAGGAAAAAAAAAAAAAACAAAAAAAAAAAAAAACCATGAAACCATACGGTTCCATATGATACAATTTAAGCACAAAATATACATTTGATTTCTTTCTCGAAACTATGTATACAACAATACATTTTTCGGCACTGGATTATTCGAACTGAACATTCATTTTTTTTTTAATTTTAAAATACCCCTAAACTTAAATATATCACAAAACCATTTAAAAATATCAAATTACCCCATACCAAAAAGCCGACAAACCAAACAAAGTCATATCGATTATTAAGCTAATACTTAGAACAATATTACACATACAATATTTTTATACAACATTTTTCATACAATCTGATGTGACAAAAGATTAAATGAAAGTTTATTCTTAGTTAAAAATCAATCAACCATATTTTGTAACATCAAATTGTATAAAAAATATTACATGTGCATGCTATTATACAATTCTCTTTACAAAATTTTCTAGTACAACCGAACCATATATTTGTCCACTAAAAACAACCGTCTTATCTTATCTAGGTTTCATGAAAAGCCAGCAATCAAATTAAAATTAAATTCGAGGGTCGATTGGCACAACTAGAAGCTATAATCTACAAATGCCCTAACAGATTCTGCATAATCGGACACAAATATTTTGATATAACATTTTGAAGATATACAATGTACATAACCAGTGAGCCAATCCTATAAGTTGTAATAGCAAATCACTTTGTCCGTGTAATCGTTTTCCAAGTACATTGATGTTGCGAAGAGACTACTGGGACGAAACGTGAACTACTTTCATTGTCATCACCAGAACGCTTTGAACTTCAATCCAAGAGTTATAGGCATCAAAATCATAAATGCATTTTTTTTTTCTTGGTAGTGAAAACTTTCAATGGTGGAGAAAACACATAGTTACTAACACCAAGAATGAGTGAGAGGCCATAAAATCTCCTCGGGCTACTTGCTGAAAGTGGGGAAAACCAATTTCAAGACAAATAGATGCAGAACCCACGAAATGTCACCAACCTTAAAATTTTGAAGCCTAAAACTTAGATCGCCAACCAACCGTCTTTCAAGAGAAACCATAAGAGATTTATCAGTCATCCCAAGCGCTATCCGCAGCACCCTCCCTTTTGATGTTTGAAGTAGCAATCATGAACCTATATTTGTCTTCGATGTTAATTGATGTAGGTCCCATCATTGACTTGGACATGGTAATTCTTGCACCTTTGTAAGCAGCTGCTGCTTCTCTCTCCTTCCTTCTTGCAACCTGTAAGAAAAAAGGACCAATTTTCTCAAAACATGGAAGTAGTTTCAAATCACAACTATATTTCATTCAACCAATTTAGTAAAAAACAATAACTGGAAACAATTAGGAAAAATGGCTGCCAGAGTGAAGTGAAAAAAATGCCAAATGAAAAGTTATTCATCATAGTGAAAATCTGCTACCTTCCCAGTTGCAAATGCCACTGCATTTCCAGATTCAACATCGACTATTGCTTTCTTTATATGTGCCACAAGGAACTAGAATATAGTCACACCAAGAAATGTATAAGTGTCATATCTACACAAGAAAGCGAGCATAAGAAATGCTATTTCAGAAGAAAATGGTGGAACAGACAGTACCATATCACGATCAGTGTAAAACGAAGTTGCTTGGCCCATTGACCCAGCACGGCCTGTCCTTCCAATCCGGTGCACATAATCTTCCATGGTCTATAATTGAGGCAGCCATAACTGAAGCTTCAGATTTTCTACTTCACAAAAAGATTTAATAGCAACTGAAAGATGAGGCTAGCACTAATTTAGGGCATAATGTGCCGCAAGGCACTGGTTCTTGGCTTAATATCTGTGTCATATGATACTCATTATTTAACAGTTCAAGAAGATAACTACCAACGAAATTGTGAATTGCTAGAACTAAAATGACTTCAACTGTTCAAAATAACTTCTGAGTTATACATTGTGGTTATGAACTAGTTGCAGTCGAAAATACCTTCGGAAGATCTAGATTAACAACATGAGCGACTCCTGTAACATCCAAACCACGTGATGCAACATCTGTTGCAACCTGCAAACATAGGCATCAGTTAACAAACTACAGAACAGTCACATAGATCCAAAGAAACAGAGGATATAAATGGAGGAATACAAGGGAAAAGAAAAGAATATAATGTAGGTTCGATCATATGCCCTGAATAAGATTGGTATGACACCAATAAAAATCACAACTTTCAGAATTCTTCTCAATATATCACAGCACAGAAGTTTCAGTCCATAGAGGATACTTCTATGTTAATAAATACTACCCCAAACAAGTTCTTGCGAAAATAAAAAATGGTATTTAAGAAGGAAGACCTTGAAGATTATTAAAACACCAAAAGTATATTAGCACACCCACGGGAAGGTAAATGGTTCCACTGCAGTTTGTAGACCATTTAAACCTCAAAATCTGTTGTGGATAAGCCAAAAAGCAAATGGCATACTCTTCATGAAGAGTGGTACAAACACTAAATCTTCAGATGCCATAAATTTTATCTGACACCATTAGCTAGGGTGATGGATTTCAATTCTATAATAATCTCCATATCAAAATAGCTTTCATCTTTAAGTTTTACGTAGAATGTAATAGAACCATAGTTTTTCCGAGGACAGCAGAGGCACCCAAAATTTTCCAAACATACTACTTGGTAAAACGAAAAGAAAGAAACAAAAGAAAAATTTATATTACACAGGGGACCATCTCAGTTACATATTACGTTTTACTATCAATCCTTATGAACAGAATTTTAGTGCAAGCATCAGTGCTCCAAGGTAATATAAACACAAACCAAAATATTAGTGGAGCCATTTCTAAAATCACGTAGAGCAGACTCCCTTTCACTCTGATTACGGCCACCATGAAGAGCAACTGCATGTAAACCTTGAACAACCAAAGCTTCAGCCACCTCATCACACCTTGTCTACATCCAGAACAATGATCAAGAACTAGAATTTTTCAACAAAAAACTGCCAGAGATTTGAAAGAAAATATCATAAACAAGAAAAATAAAAATTCTAAGAAATCTCATCTTTTTCTTATAATTATTTTTCCCCTTTTTTCCCTGTTAACCCTAACACTAATCAGGAATTCTGGTAGTCATGCAGAACTAACTTTAGAAACTATCCACATCTAATTTTAAGCATAAGTCTTGAATGTGAACAGTTTCAAAATATTCATTAAAACACATTAAAATACAAGCTTAGAACCGAGTCCATAAATTCAACAGCATACATACAACGTTTGGGGTTGACATCCAAAAGGGCGCCTATTGAGGAAATAAAGCATATGACAATCTGGAACCCCATAAATGCAAGGGTATTGCTTAGTGTAAACAAATTGGTATGGAAAAAGGCACCAAAATCACTAATACATCAACATTTACAAACTATAGTAAATTCAAAGCTGGTCACAACAGCAAAGATTGTCTCAATAATAATGAACATAGACCTCAACTCACCTTCCTTTCAACAAACACAATAGTTAAAGGGAATGGATGACCAGATCTTTCAGCCTGAGAAGCCTCTTCTACAAGCAAAGCTAGAAGTCGATCAATCTACAATAAATTGAATGCCATCACAACATTATAATCAAGTCAACAACTCAACCAATAAAAAGACTGGATACATTAAAGTTTAGAGAAGAAAAATGTTTCTAAAACATGCTATCCAAGATGTCATGACCAATAACACGCATCGTTACATTGAACATATCCATTCCAAAAATCTCTCCAATAGCCGATGTAGCCAGGAGTTGGAAAAAAATTAATCTGATTAACCGAACATTTCTAAGATGTATGGTTCCTACCCTTAAGAAATATGATGGCGTCAATTTAACTTGCCATGCTAACAACCAAAACAAAGTGAGCCTAGATAAATACCTTCTCACTCTCAGAAACCTTCAGCAAGATCTGAATAACATTTGCTGTTGGACTACTCACTTTACCCACCTTAACTTGGACAGGATCGGCTAGATACTCCTGAAATTGGGTAAGAGAAAGGAATAAGAAATTTAGAGACATTATTTGTGAAGATGATACAAACAGGACAGAGACTATCTCTTTAAGAGTTTAATTGCTTTACAAAATTTATCAGACCAAAGAATAGCAGATTCATCAAGCAGTTGGTAGCAAAAATATTACTACACCAAACAAACTGATTATCTCATTCAAGGATGTTAAAGAAAAGCAATCAACCACTGTCACTTGCCACTGGATTATGCATCAGCATTATTTGAAATTCTAAAATCAAGTAACCAGGGAACTGAGAAATGAGTTTTAAGAGTATTATGACAACTAGTACTCCCCCTGTTAGCAGGATTGGACTTCTTAGGTCAGAAGTTATATGATCATCTTCATTTGAAGGCTTCCGAGTTCAAACATATTTCCCAGAAATATTGATAAACCTGACATGGGGAGTAGAACTAATTTACCAAACATTCACACACTCCACATGACAAGATTAAAGGTTCCAAAACTGAACTCAACTGACTCCTTTCAGATTTTTCTAATGTAAGAAAGCTGAAGTATGATCACCTGTTTTAAGTGATATGTTAATATGAAAGCAAAACTAGCATTCACTCCATATCTGACCTAAGTGTTATACAATGATACAAAAATACTGAATGAAATTAGATTTTTTATATTTATCAACACATATTGACAGAAATTTAAAGACTGGGAACCAATACAGATAAGTGATACTTGGCTACACAGTCTTTCCTGATCTTTTTCCAGACAAGGCGTACTTCCCTTTTTATATAGCTCGTATAAAGCTTGTAGGAAAAAACAGAAGATTAACAGGAGACTTAACCTGTGTTAATGCTTCTATCTCCACAGGCATGGTTGCACTAAACAGCAAAGTCTGATGCTTCTCTGGAAGATTGTGCATTACCTGTAACATTATCAAACATTGCAATGTGTCTACTTACAGAATGTAAATGAAGAATGGAATGGTGTCACGTTGCCAATATTAGTGGAAGCCTTATCATAATGTTATGGACAGGAAAATATCACCAGAATGGGGAAAGCGGGTTTGAGCAAGCAATACTTACAGTAAATCAGTTAAGCAGTTAATTTTAAATCGTGAAAGGAAATCAAAAAGCAGAAGAATATATCCACAAAGTCTAGTTCGATTCATATCTCACATAGATGATTCAAATTAATTATTCAGTTTGATGATATTTTTGGCTTTGTCTGACTGTTTTTTAAAGGCAGAAATGTTCATGTCCAGAGCTCACATTATTCTCTGAAGCCCAGACATAAATAAATATAAAAAAACAAAAAAAGGATAGCTTAACAGACAGCTTATGAACAATAGAGGAGAAAAGTGGACATAAAAATACAGATCCATATAGGATAAAAGGATTGGCCTAGCTAGCAACATACTTGTGCTCACATGAGCATACATGTTCATGAACAAATGTGCATACTTTTTTTTAGAAAAAAAATTAAAATTAATTAAAGTAAAGGCACCATATACCTCTCTTATCTGTGGTTCAAACCCCATATCAAGCATTCTATCAGCTTCATCCAGAACAACAAATGAAACTCTAGAAAGAGATGTGTTTCCTTGTTGTAAATGATCAATAAATCTTCCAGGAGTAGCAACAACTATACTGACACCTCCCCGTAGCTCAGACTTCTATCACAGCATTCCACCAACAAATGCAAATCAAATGAGATTAGGAGAAACAAAGAAAAACTATTTCAACATATAACAGGACAGTGCAGCCCTAATCATTATTCTTGGCTTATTACAGGAAAAGGATAGTCAATCAGGGATTAAACTTACCAAAAGCCAAATATAAACAGGAAGAAGAAACTTATTAGAAGAACTAAAAAAAGTGTAATCTACTCTATGTGCTCCTAGCCAGTGATGATGCCAAGGTTTTAATCCAGAGGATAGGACTATGAGTAATAATAAAATAAACTCCAAATATTAAATATCAATTTTGATATATATTGATTCACAGAAGTTCCATTTAAGATATTCAGAATTGTGGCACAAGATATAAGGCATGGAAACAATGAAATTGTAACGATATTCCTATGCATAATACAATAGGTTCATCGAAAAAATAAAATTTGAAATATACATGTAGTTAAAACTATAAACTGAACTGGTCGAAATTGTCTTCATGTGCAGGCTTCAATTTAGAAGCACCCTAGGGTTTTTCATTCAACAATCATGTATTACAAAAAGAAAAATGCAATTTGATTCAATATAATTGAGAGGCTGCAGTGATGTGATTAAAGAAGTATGATTTTAGTGTGAGTTATGGATATCAGGACTTTTTATTATGTCCTGTATCTATGGTTAGTTTTTGCTTTTGGGCTGTCTTCACCCATAGATGCATAGATATACTTTGGAAAGCTAGTTTAATTCTATGAAATACTTTCTTCAATTTATACAAGTTTTCTTGACATTCTCATGAAAAATAGGTATAATTCTCTAGAATCCAAATTCATAGGCACCTGATTACATATCAATTTAGTGTTAACTTATACTCCTAGCATCTGATGAAAGAATAATTATTTTTTTCAGTTGGCCAAGAACCAATCTAAAATATTTTATTACAATTATATGGGTGAATAACAGCGAATGCAATACCTATCGGTGAATAACGAGGATTATAGTATCTAAAAGTACTATATAACTGTCAGAATCCCACATTAAAAGAGAAAGGGGTGGGCATGTGGGTTATAAGGGTTTGGACACCCTCCCTTGACAAGCCGGTTTTCTAAGGAGAGTTCTACCCAAGTCCATGAAAGACCCATGACCCAACCCAATTATTGAGTTATTGGAGTGGATTCCTATCAATTAATATCAGAGCATGATCCTGTGCCTATGTGGCAACGCACGCATGGCAAGCTAACCCATGGCAGGTTGACCTTGGGCTCGGGTTGCTACTCCGAGAAAGGCCATGAAGGCCCGAGGGAAAGGGAATCTGCATATCACCCAAGGGGTAAAGAGGCCGACGGGGGTAAAGAGGCCGACATAGATGTCGGTTGTGGAAGCATGGTAGAATGTTAGGATTCCACATTAGAAGGGAAAAGGGTGGGCATGTGGGCTATAAGGGCTTGGGCACCCTCTCTTGGCAAGTTGGTTTTCCAAGAAGAGTTCTACCCAAGCCCATGAAAGACCGATGACCCAACCCAATTATTGAGTTATTGGAGTAGGTTCCTATCAACAACCGATGAATGATTAATCTATGTGATATATAGAGAGAAAAGTATAAAGTGTTGGCTAAAGGGGCAACATAACAAAGAGAAACAATGTGTTTTATGCTTTTCTAACTTTTTAAGAAATAGGAAAACTGCAGCACCACTATGATTGGTTCCTATAAAATTTTCAAGGGTACATCAAGGGGGGCACACCCTTAATAGCTCCACCTCTAGGTTGCGGACATTTTGAATCCAAGGCAAGAGGAGCTTGACTCCATTCAAGGGAGACTGTATCATGCAAAGTAATGGTATGGGAAAATAATTTTAAGAAATAAAAGAGGATTCGATGGTAAAGAAAAAGAAATGGAGTTTGAGGGTGTTATAAAATTCAGAAGAAATAATAAGGGAAGAGTGATGGCTGTGAGGAAGAGCTCAGGTAGGAAAATGGGAGGAAGATTGATGTTTCTTGGCAGATTCTGATTGGTTCTGCAAATCAATAAAAGATGATTGCCCTTTGATAGGAACCCACTCCAATAACTTAACAATTTGGGCTGGGCCATGGGTCTTTCATGGGCTTGGGTAGAACTCTCCTTGGAAAACCGACTTGCCAAGGGAGGGTGCCCAAGCCTTTACAACCCACATGCCCACCCTTTTCCCTTTCAATGTGGGATCCCAACATTCCACCACGCTTCTGCAACCGATGTCCACGTCGGCCTCTTTATCCCCGTCGGCCTCTTTACCCCTTGGGTGACTACGCGGATCCCCTTTTTCCCTCGGGCCTCCATGCCCTTTCTTGGGGTAGCAGCCCGGGCCCAAGGTCAGCCTGCCACGCGTGCGCTACCACATAGGCACAGGATCATGCTCTGATACCAATTGATAGGAACCCACTCCAATAACTTAACAATTTGGGCTGGGCCATGGGTCTTTCATGGGCTTGGGTAGAACTCTCCTTGGAAAACCGACTTGCCAAGGGAGGGTGCCCAAGCCTTTATAACCCACATGCCCACCCTTTTCCCTTTCAATGTGGGATCCCAACACCCTTTAAACAACAAAATAGTTTTTAGGCCATGTTATCAAACTATCAGAGATGGTAAATGAAAGGAAAAGACTACACTACCCCTTAGACTTAAGTTGAATTCTTTAATTCAGTGGGGACAAGTACCTAAGGGACATCCCTGTATGCTGCAAACCAACTTCAACAGCAATGATAAATGCCAAACGGACATCAATTCTTACTTCAACAGCAACGAGAAATGGATAAGACACACATTCATTCTCCATCACATTTGAAAAAATATAAAAATAAAAACATACAATTTAAAACAAAACCCCTCCCCACCCTGGTGTGAGCGAGATTTGATCTTAAGACCTCTTGTACAACCCAAGAGATCCAACCAGTCAAATTTAACCCATTTATAACATCAATAAAAGGAATAAATATCAGGACAGAATTACTCACCTGTTCAGCAATGTTTGTTCCACCCACCACAATTGCAGTTTTGAAGGACTCAAGAGATCGACTAAAAGCTTTAACCTATTCAATACAGAATTGGTAACATCTCAATATGAGAAAATAAAGAGTCATTAGGTAAAGAAAAAGGATATGCAAAGTAAATATCGTGAATCTTGTATATATATACATAAGACAAAATACAGAGTAATCATCAATTCTCAAACTGAGAACATATTGTTGTTAAAAATATTAGTAAGCAGAGATTCTTATATATTATGACAATCATTAAAAAAATTGAAACATCTGTTAAAAGGACACACCTCTGTTGTTCCTTTTAATTAAAATATATTGTTTTTTATTTTCTTAGCTTTTCTCTTTTGTTTTCTTAGATTGTTTGGTAACCTTACAAAAGGGTAAAAACCATCACATTCACCTTTCAAAACAAAAAGTAAAAAAGACGAGACACATCAGCTTGTTGTGTTTTTTGCATCTCTTCAAGAATGAGGCAGAAAGTACAAAAAAATTTCCTCTATAAAGAAGAGATGAAACGGGTTAGCTTGATCCTTAAATGAATATATGCCTTAGCATAGGTTTTTTATGCACAATTATCAAATCTCTCAGAGAAATTGAAGTTATCCATCTTCCGAGTACAATGGCAACCATTATATTATGAATCCACTCCATAGTTGGATTTCTAACATCATTTCTTCATCAAACAAAGTAGTTTCAAGCTCTTGTCATCCCTTTTTCCTGATTTTTTTCTAAACCTTGCTTCAATAACAGATAGTCTCTCTTCAGGTGACCTAGATTGCTAAATATCTGTGCTTCTAGTTCTTCAAGCCCCTGGTTTTTCTCCAATATTATATGTTCTTTGTGAGCTTGTTTGAGTCTATACTATAATCTCTTGGGTTTTCCAATTACAAAGAGGAAAAAAAAAAAAAAAAAAAAAAAAAGGGTGCTAAATGACACTAGAATTTGAACACCAGTAAGGAAAGAGCTCAAAACAGAATTATTGATTGAGGAGGATTGGTTTGTATAGATTTTACATAGAGGTCAAGCACAAGAATAACCGAGAAGGAAAAAGTAAATGTCTCGCTTAAAACAAATAAATAATCATAAAGTTTCCTAGGTAGAAATTGCAATGCTTTATTTTTAAAAACAAAATTATTATAATACTTAAATAGATCTTAGCCCTACGACAGATCTAACCAGCTCATGTAACAGGTCAGCATGATGATTAAGATATGATGATCAGGAAAGAATATGTGCATATATTGGAAAAGGCACATGGTAGTATCCGGTTGAAAACAAATTCGCACACTGATGAAAACATATGGAACCTTCAACTAAAATGAGAAGAAAAGAAGCATATAATTGATGGCTTAAAAATCTCCTTGAGACCGAACTACATAGGTGCACTAAACCAAACCCATTTTATATAATGAACAGATGCTTTGTGTTTTAATTGGGTCAGAAAGCATACTGAAAAAGCAAACATAGTCGACATAGTAAAATTCACCCCCATGCACCTGGCCATCTAAGGTGGCAAGCTACATGCTCAAGCAACAATAACACCTATAGCCAGACACGAGGATGTAGACAAGAAACAGTGTTTGATTGTCTAATCAACAACCAATGCCCCCGCTCGCAAACAATTAAGACAATCCTTTAGAAGGGAAAAATTCAACCGTTGTTAATTACAACTCTATATCCCTCTTGGATTCAAGTGTTCTTTTAAAATCTACTACAATTGATAAACACTTACATAAAGTATCTAATATCTAGTTCTTTGATAATGCCATCAAAAGTAGAATTCACCATGTAAATGTTGATTCACAAAATTATTATATACAAGAAATACTTGAAGATAGAACTCCCTTAGGAGTAAGAGGTTCTTGATGAGCCTACATACTTCCTTGAAACCCAAGTACAAAGAACCAATAAACAAAACCCATTTTATAAAGAGAAGAGGATATTGTGCCCAAGTTGAGGCAAACAACACAATCCCAAAAGAGTGCACATGGTAAATCCAAATATAGCCAGTGTGCACATGGCCACTTAGGTGTCGAGCCACATGCCAATACGAGGATGAAACCTAAAGCTTGATATTAGGATACATACAAGAGTATTGTACTGTGAAGGAGACAAAGTTCCAATGCTAGGGTAGCACAAACATAACTAAAGAGCACACAACATAGCATTGGAACAACCTAACGTGTGTCACTAGGAATTGAGGCATAAATAAATGAAAACCATGCAGAAAGAGGTAAGCTTTCACACAATCCTCACTCTACACCTAAAGGAGAAGACTGGTAAAAGACACTGTCCATTATCCTTAAATTGACTTAACCATCAGGTGGCCTAAATCAAGAGAACCCACAATGCTCATACACTGTGTGTTCCTTGAATCAGTAAACAAAATATGTTCACATAATCAGAAAACCAACTTCTAGAACAGGCTCTTTCAGAAAGCAGAGCACACACGACCAAAGGCAAAAAACACTTTGAAACTATTATTCATCAAGTTTTCCTTATATAATTACAGAGATCAAAACCAGCTGCAAGAAACCTCAACTGCTAAGAAGCTTTTTCAGGAGACTGTTAGAACTAAATAAAGGTAGAACACCTCCTCCATAGAAGTCAGCACTATATGGTGAGATCATTCATAAATATGAGCAGTTATTTCCAAAATCAATACACAAGCTTTTATAACAACATCACGGAACTATATAGCTAAAAATCTCACCTCTTTTTCAATTTGTTGGGCAAGTTCTCTAGTAGGAGCCAATACCAATGCCAATGGTCCATCACCACGCCTAACTGGTGTTTGAGCCAAGCAGTGCTGCACATTGACATTGAAATACAAAAATCAAATTAAAAATGACTACCATCTGCAGGATACATACAAATTATCATCACAGGATGACAAAGAAAATACAACATCCTTTGTTTTAATATAAACCAACTCTTGACCTGTATCATAGGGATGGTGAATGCAGCAGTTTTACCACTACCAGTTTCAGCACAACCCAACAGATCCCTTCCACTAAGAGCTACCGGCATCGCCTGAGCCTGAATAGAAGTTGGCCTTGTATATTCATGAAACTCAATATCCTTCATGATACTAGGGTGCAAACACTGGAAAAATGACAAATATATTTATATACACGTCAAATTTAACATTGCCCATTACATCAAAGAAGGAGAAAAAATTTCCCAATATACTCAAAGCTCACCATGTCTGTAAAAGATTCAATTGGTGGAGGAGCAGGAAGAGAGCGTGAACCAACGTTAACATCAACATGAAGCCGCGAACATACCTCTTCAATCTGTACAAAATTACACATTCAAATAAAAAATTCACACATTAAATGCAAATTTGTTTTTCATTTCTCCTTTTATTTTACGGAGAAACTAAATTCAAACTTTTTCAAATTAAAAATAAATTCAAACTTATTTTAAATTTTCCGTTTTATTTCACTGAAAAACAAAAAACCAATAAAAAGAAGAAAAAAAAAAAACGCATCTATTCAATTTTATTTTAAACTATCTTTCTATTCACTGAATGAGCCACTAAACAACAGAAAAGCATCAAATTACTGGTACTCACTTGTTGAGGTTGCAAGCGGAGGATGCGGTCAGAGGGTTTCCAGGTAGCGAAAACAGGTTCAGGGAGGGTTTGAGCTGCGGCGGTCCGACGAAAGGCATTAGAGAAGGAGGCGACAGAATTTGAATTTGAAGAAAATGAGAGCTTGGAGTGGTCAGTGTTTAGGGTTACAACAGAGGAGTTGGTGGGAGATGCTTTGCTCATTGAGTCTGAAGTGGAGTTCCTGAGGTGTGGTGGCAAATACGACATCGTCTTGTTCTTTAGAGTTGGAGGTTTTGAGCAGAGAGGATTGATTGGTACCTGGTAGCGACAATGTCATAAACTGTATTTTACTCTTTTTAAGTGTGAGTGACGCTGTTTCAATTTTATAATTCTTTGAAAAGAATCAAATAAAACAACGCGGACTTGGTTATGTTTTGGTCTGTATAGGTGTATACTGTATAGGCATCATCCAAGGATTGATGAAAAAGTAAAAGGGTGAATAACAATTTCCCACCCAATGCTTTGCATAATTACTTTTCCAACCCATAAACTATGAGAAAAACAATTTCCCACCCATCGTTGTATGGGCAAAAACAGTTGGCTCCACGTTGCGACCCAACCAAGGTAGGTGGTACATCAAAACTCATCTTGTAAGAAATCCACTCTACGAGATGCCTCATTCTATAGGTTGGTCCGTTCTAAAAGCCGACCACTCTACGAGCTGGTCCACTCCATGAGCTAGGCTATTCCACGAGTCAAGCCACTCTATGACCTAGGTCGCTCTATGAATTGGGCTGACCTACAATCTGGGCAGCTCTTCGAAGTCGAGTCTCTCTACATGTTGGATCATCCCATGCTCCGACCCATCAGTAACATGACCCATCTTCAACTCCACGATCAGGTCTCATGTCCCGTTGACTAAGTCTCAACTAACTCTGGGTCTTCTGCCACGTGGTACAATACTCAGGGGGATTACAACGTCCTCATCAAGTCAAGAGACGACGCTCACTTCCCAATGGGACTCCGAGTCTCATGGGAGCTCTAACCACCCCAATCGCCTATAAGACTAAGGTCAACCTTCTTAGAGGGGGACTTATAACATACTTTTGACTTCGGTTTTACATTGCTCAATTTATTCTCACACTCTCATTCTCGCACCCTTGCTCTGCCATCATTTTGCACCGCAGAACCAAGTTTTGACCATTGTACGACGATTGTTGTGCCACCGATCCACATTAACGATGACTTCTATCAACTCTCTTCCATTCTTTACCTTATTTAACACCTTGTCACTTGTGCTGACTTAAGTGTCAAAGGGCCTACTATTAGTATAAGTATCCTAAAGTTAATCAATTATTGTAATATTGACTCTACGTAAATCATGTTTATATCAATAAAATACATTTTTCTCTATATCATGTAATTCATTCTATATGTCATGTAATTCATTCTATATGTCGTGTAATTCATTCTATATGTCTTGATATGTGTCCTTAGGATGGTAGAACCATCACAAGGGTATCAAGTGTTTCAAATCTCGATAGTGAGAACCCTATGATCACATATGGTAGTCATTCTAAAAACTAGCCCTAGTATTATTCATACCAAGGGCACATATAATATGATAAGGCTATCATAATATTAAAAGATCCTGTTAAAAGACAATGACTGATCTCACTTGTTAAGGTTGTTTGGTGACAACTTAATGGAACACTAGGTGTTTGTTGTATGCAAGTTCACTGACTAACCCAGCAGAGGATTCTACATAAATGGTAATCCTATTGTTTCTAGAATAAATCCTCTAATTTGATGGTGGTGCATGTGATCCTTAGACTTAAGATCACCGAAGTGCCTTATATACCAATTGTTGTAGTTTGACGCTAGCCCAACATAGTCCTATTCAGAGCTATTAGAACAATAGTGGTTGGTTGCATTGAGAAGTGTATTAAGGCTATGGTGGATCAACATAGGATTCATCACTATCAGGTACGAGAGAAGTTATCTCACTACATAGTTCGGTTATATTGGCAACGATAATAAATATGTGATTATAGTGGGATCGAGTTGTTGCTCAATCTAATTTATTATTACGGTTATTGGTCCAGTAATCGAATACCAAGATATAAAGGGTATATGAGGTTGACACTATTTCTACACCTCAGCTTTGATTAGATAATGGATGATAAAAGGATTGAATTGCACGGTAACCATACCGTTGATAGGTATCAGTTTTTCACTGATCTCTACTTGTTGGGTGGCCTTGATGTCTTGATAGAAGCCAATCTTGGTCTGTGTGTGGGAAGACAATTAAGTGGAGGTCAATTGCTATACTACTCATTGCCAACATGATAGGAAGCCTACGAATCACACACATGAAAGGAATTAAGTAAAGAACGTGTTTTGATCAAAGAAAGGGCTAAAGGGCATTTTGGTCTTTTCACAAAGACATGGTAATTTGGTACTTTTGTATAGGTTGTTGCCTATGCCTATTTCTTAATGAAATAGAATAAATAAGATTACCTAATTAATATTAATTGAATGAATTAAAATTACCCTAATTAATATTAAATATACATTTATTATATATTAATATTAATTAATATATTAATTGGAAACCTATTTAATTCTATCCTAAATTGGATTTAGCATAAACCCGATTAGGAATAGAATTGTATCATATTCCAAGATGGAATAGGACTTTAAGTTTACTATATAAGCAAACTTAAAATTAGGTTTCATTAGAACAATTATTCACTCACTCGATCTTACATAATTTTGAGAGAGAGGAACCCTAACCACCCACTCCAATCAAGTTATTGGAATTTCCTTTTATTGTTCTTGCCGATTCTCTATGTGGATATCATAATGCATTTCTACTCTTGATTTGGTTTGCTAAGAACTTGTCGTGAATAGTGTCAGTGAACAATGTCGTGAATAGTGTCAGTGAACAATGTCGTGGATAGTTCCGATGAACAGGTCGTGAACAGTTTTAGTGAACAGTGTTGTGAATAGTTTGATGAACAATATTGGTAAACAGTTCTAGTAATAGTACCATGAATAATGTTGTGAACAGTTCGGTGAACAATGTCATGGACAATACTGACGAACAGTAAAGAAGGAGCCTCTAAACGTGAGTAAGTTTCTAATTCTTGAGGGAGGCGTTTGGATCATATAATGTTTTATTATAGGGGTATTATATTAATGGAAAGACAAATCACCTTGAAGATTACTGAGAATGTTTAGAAAATGTGTTTAGTTGGCTCGAATAAATTGGTGAATAATATGTTTAGTTGGGAGGATAAATGAGTGGGTATTTTATATGGATTACTAAATTGCCCTCCTTTTTAAATATTAATGTAATAGTATTTATTATTATTATTTTTTGAACTATTCTTTTAACCCCCCACATTTGAAATTTTGCTAAAACACCCCAACCATATAAAACTTTAATTTGTAGCAAAATCACCCTCACCCACCCCAAGCCACTGCCGACAGTCAGCCACCACTATCGGTCGCTACCAACAATCAATGGAATGGTGCACGATTGGTCGTATATGGTCGGTCATGTATCGACAAAGCCATTTCTGGCCATGGATCACAAATCCATGACCACATCTTTGGCCGTGAAACAGCCATAGAAACGCCAGATCTAGCCGTTTTTGGCCATGAATCTATGATCCATGGTTGGAAAAAGGTCTTACCAATGCACGACCGGCTAGATCCTATCGGTCATGCACCATTACAACAACTAACGCTGGCAACCGGCAGTGGTCTTTGATGGCTGGGGCTATTTTGTTAACTTTTAAACTTTTTTGTGACTGGGGTGTTTTAGCTAATTTCTCAAATGTAGGGGGGCTATGTAATTGTTATTTGGTAGACATTTGAGGGCAATTGTGTCCAAAATGGAATTTAATTAAGGGCAAAATAGGTAAAAAAAAGTATTACCCGGTAATGTTTTAATCTCGGGGGGAGGGTATCGGATTACCCCCAACATTACTGTAATAGCCGCTTTCTACTCAAATACTCATAAAACATATACATAATAAAATACATATAAAATAGTATAAAAAGTTGGGCTCAAATTTTTCTTTCATTAAACATATACATTCTTTATACAAAATTTGTATCATGTACAAAACTATAAAAAACAAGGTGGACAGTATAGCCATTTCCCTTCGCTTGCCGACGCCCATCCGACCGTGTCCTCACATAGATCCTGCAAAACATAGGAAACAACGGGGTGAGCACTAAAACAATGCTCAGTAAGTAAATCCTCTACTCATCTAACCCCGTAACTCTCTCTCTAATTCTTTCCTTACAATGCTCATTTACTCTCTCTCTTATACTTCTCTCTATTTTCTCTTTCTCATAACTCTTTTCTACTAACTCTCTTTAGTAGTCACGGCCTTATCTTACCAGAGGCACGGCCGGGACTCGCTCCCGCTCTACGTGACTTTTACTCATTCTAGCCGATCGGACTCGGTTATGCATGGATTCGAAACCCTTGGCCATGTGAGTGTATAAACTCTCTCTCGGATACTCTCGGGTACAGCCCTCATCCGCATGCACTCTCACGAGCTACACCACTTCTCTCTCTCATACTCATGCCGCTCTCTCAATGCAGTGTACATGCGGGAATACTCTACCCATAACTCACGGGTTCCCCATCGCACAACCTACTCTGTTCTCTTTTTCTCTCTTTTCTCTTAATAAAGCTTACACTCAAAGTGCTCTACTCTTTTTCTCTAATGCAATTAATGCATATGGATGATTCATGCTCATTAATGCACTCATGAAATGCAATTATGCCATGTAGCAATAATTAAGGTTCTTTACTCTTACTCATGTCTTACTCAAGCATTTCATCATACAACTCATGTGCATATAAAACTCTACTTGCTCTATAACTCTTCTCCCCTATTTAATCATCCCAAAATGGGAGAAACTCCCTCATACTCTCTAAGTTCCTGTCAAAGAAAGACACTCCCAAAGGATTTGGCTCAAAACTCTCTCCAACTTCCATCAAACTCAACTCAGTCTCAACTCAACATCATAACATCTCAACTCTTCTCATAACTCAAGTATATACAACAATAAATAGAAATAACCATCCATCTCATCACAATTTCTCAATAGACATAATATATACACATACATACATAAATCTCTACTCAAAAGAGTTCTTAAATCTTAACTTGAGTTGGATTTACTTACCTTGTGACTAAGTAACTTCTCTAATACTTCTCCTTTCCCTTGTTGTCTTGTTTTCTCTCTACAACTTAGGATGCTTTAGATTCAAGCTCTACCAAAATTACCCCAAAAGCTCCCTAAAACTCCTTAGAAATCTTGGAAAATTGAATGGAGGATTG